GGGGGGGGCACTGGTGAGGGACACGGGCGGGACCCGGGAGGACAGAGGGGACAGAGGGACAGAGCGGGGGATACGGCAGGGACATAGTCGGGGGGAGGCACTGGGGACAACGGGGGGACAGCAGGGGACACCGGGAGGGGCACGGGGTGAGGGACACGAGATGCCCATCGTGACCCGAGGGTGCCCAAGGTGCCTGTGGGTGTCCCCGGTGACTCGAGGGCCCCCAAGGGTGACACAAGGGTGCCCATGGTACCCCATGGTGCCCCATTTGTGCCCCTGGTGACCCGCTGTCCCCTGGGTGTCCCTGCTGTCCCTGCTGTTCCATGGGTGTCCCTGCTGTTCCATGGGTGTCCCTGCTGTCCCTGGTGTCCCATGGGGTGTCCCTGCTGTTCCATGGGTGTCCCTGCTGTTCCATGGGTGTCCCTGCTGTCCCTGGTGTCCCATGGGGTGTCCCTGCTGCCCCTGGTGACCTGGGTGTCCCCAAGGTGCCCATGGTGCCCCATTTGTGTCCCCGGTGACCCAGTGCCCCATGGGCTGTCCCTGGTGTCCCCTGTGTGTCCCATGGGTGTCCCCGCTGTCCCCGGTGACCCGCTGTCCCATGGGGTGTCCCCGGTGTCCCCTGGGTGTCCTCGGTGCCCCATTTGTGCCCCGGTGACGCGGTGTACCCCGCAGGAGGAGGGGGCTCGCAGCCGCCGCCCCCCGAGCTGGCCTCGCTGCTGTCCCTGGTGTCCCCTGGGTGTCCCCGGTGTCCCATGGCTGTCCCCTGGGTGTCCCTGCTGTTCCATGGGTGTCCCTGCTGTCCCCGCTGTCCCCTGGGTGTCCCCGGTGCCCCCGGTGACCCGGTGTCCCCCCGCAGGAGGAGGGGGTTCGCAGCCGCCGCCCCCCGAGCTGGCCTCGCTGCTGTCCCCGCTGTCCCCTGGGTGTCCCCGCTGTCCCCTGGGTGTCCCTGCTGTCCCATGGGTGTCCCCGGTGTCCCATGGGTGTCCCCGCTGTCCCCGCTGTCCCATGGGTGTCCCATGGGGTGTCTCGCTGTCCCCCCGCAGGAGGAGGGGGCTCGCAGCCGCCGCCCCCCGAGCTGGCCTCGCTGCTGTCCCCGCTGTCCCCTGGGTGTCCCATGGGGCGTCTCTGCTGTCCCATGGCTGTCCCCGGTGTCCCCTGGGTGTCCTCGGTGCCCCATTTGTGCCCCGGTGACGCGGTGTTGGCACTCATGGGGACATTGGGGACACGGGGGACACGGGGGGGCACTCATGGGGACACTGGGGACACGGGGGTGGCACTGGGGGTGGCACTCATGGGGACAGTGGGGTGGCACTCAGGGTGACACTCATGGGGACATTGGGGACACAGGGGTGGCACTGGGGATGGCACTCATGGGGACATTGGGGACACGGGGGTGGCACTGAGGGTGGCATTGGCAAGGGGGAGACACTAGGCAGCAGGTGGCACTGGGGGTGGCACCGCACGGGGACACTGGGGACATGGGGATGGCACTGAGGGTGGCATTGGCAAGGGGGTGACACTAGGCAGCAGGTGGCACTGGGGGTGGCATCGACACCTCTGGGGGTGGCACCAGGAGCGAGTGACACTCATGGGGACCTTGGGGGTGGCACTGGGGGTGACACCTGTGGGGACCTTGGGGACCTGGGGGTGGCACCAGGGGTGGCACCGGGCAGGGGCGTGGCACTGGGAGTGGCACTGACACCCCCCGGGGTGGCACCAAAGGTGGCACCGGGGGTGGCATCAGGGGTGACATCCATGGGGACCTTGGGGACACGGGGGTGGTACCGAGGGTGGCACCGGGCAGAGAGGTGACACTAACATCTGGGTGGCACTGACACCTCTGGGGTGGCACCGGGCAGGGGGTGGCACTGGGGGTGGCACCAAGGGACGCCCGCAGCACTCAGGTGACATCAAGGGACACAGGACGCCCGTGGGGGTGGCACCAGGGGACACCGAGGGGCACAGGTGGCACTAAGGGACGGCAGTGCCACCCTGGTGCCACCCTGGGGACACCCTCCGGGCAGTGCCAGCGCCGTTTATTGGGGTGGGGACAGCCGGGGTGGCACGTGTCCCCAAACACGCCACACACACGTCACACACACGTCACACGCGTGGCCGTGTGAGCGCAGGACACGGGGGTGGCCACGTGGCCGTGGTGGCATCAGGCGAGGGCACGTGTCCCTTGTGCCACCACCACGGGCACAGCTGTGGCCACGTGTGGCCAGCAACGGTGACAGTGGTGACAGCGAGTGACAGCGAGTGACAACGGTGACAGTGGTGACAGCGAGTGACAGCGGTGACAGCGGTGACAGCGAGTGACAACGGTGACAGCGAGTGACAGCGAGTGTTGCTGTCACTAACACAGCCACAGCGAGTGACACCGGCTGTTGTCACCTGTCCCTTCTGTCACCAACACTGTCACAGCGATGGCGCCAGGACACTGCCACACGTCCCCTGTCACCAACATGGTCACAGCAAGTGACAGCGGTGACAGCAGTGACAGCAGTGACAGCGAGTGTTGCTGTCACCAACACAGCCACAGCGAGTGACACCAGCTGTTGTCACCTGTCCCTTCTGTCACCGACACTGTCACAGCGATGGCACCAGGACACTGCCACACATCCCCTGTCACCAACATGGTCACAGCAAGTGACAGTGACTGTTGTCATTGTCACCAACGCGGTCACAGAGACGCCATCAGCTGCTGCCGCTGTCCCCTCTGTCACCAGCACAGTCAGTGTGACACCGGCTGTTGTCACTGTCCCCTCTGTCACCAACGCTGCCACAGCGATGCCATCGATGCCATCGGGTGCTGTCACTGTCCCCTCTGTCACCAGCACAGTTACACTGTGACACCGGCTGTTGTCACTGTCCCCTCTGTCACCAACGCTGCCATAGCGATGCCATCGATGCCATCGGGTGCTGTCACTGTCCCCTGTCACCAACACAGTCAGTGTGACACGGGCTGTTGTCACTCGTCCCCTCTGTCACCAGCACAGCCACGGTGACAGCACCAGGTCGTGCCCACAGTGACACAGTGTTGTGACACTGTCCCCTCTGTCACCAATGCCACCACAGCGATGGCACCAGGACACTGCCAGGTGTCCCTTTTGTCACCAAGGCCGCCGCAGTGACGCCATCGATGCCATTGAGTGCTGCCACTGTCCCCTGTCACCAGCACGGGTGGCACTGGTGTCACGGTGTGCCCACACAGTCACAGCGATGCCATCGGGTGCTGTCACTGTCCCCTCTGTCACCAGCACGGGTGGCACTGGTGTCACGGTGTGCCCACGGTGACAGGGCAGTGCCAGGCGTGTCCTGTGTCACCTCCAGGGCCACGGTGCTGCTGTCACAGCACGGCCACGTTGAGCCAGCAGTGTCCCCTCTGTCACCGTGTCCCCTCTGCCTGGGCTGTGTCCCTGCTGCCACCTCTGTTGAGCCAGCAGTGTCCCCTCTGTCACTGTGTCCCCTCTGTCACTGCTGTATGCCCTCTTGTCACCACCGTGTCCCCTCTGCCTGGGCTGTGTCCCTGCTGTCACCCCCATGTCCCCTCTGTCACCGCCATGTCCCTGCTGCCACCGTGTCCCCTCTGTCACCGCCATGTCCTGTGGTGGCCGTGTGTCCCACGGTGGCCGTGTCCCTGCTGTCCCCCCAGGCCTGTGTCCCACGGTGTCACTGCCATGTCCCTGCTGTCACCGCCGTGTCCCCTGGTGGCCGTGTGTCCCACGGTGTCACTGCCATGCTCCTGCTGTCACCACCTTGTTCCTGCTGTCACCGCCGTGTCCCCTGGTGGCCGTGTGTCCCACGGTGGCCGTGTGTCTCTGGTGTCACTGCCATGCTCCTGCTGTCACCGCCGTGTCCCCTGGTGGCCGTGTGTCCCACGGTGGCCGTGTCCCCGCTGTCCCCTCACGCCTGCGTCCCCTTCCTCTCCCGCAGCCGCTGCTTCAGCTCAGCCATGGCCTGGCGCTGTGGGGACAGGGACAGTGAGGGACAGGGACAGTGAGGACAGGGACAGGGACAGTGAGGGGACAGGGACAGTGAGGGGACAGGGATGGGGACAGTGAGGGGACAGGGACAAGGACAGTGTGGGGACAGGGACAGTGAGGGGACAGAGGAACAGGGACAAGGACAATGAGAGGACAGAGACAGGGATGGGGACAGGGATGGGGACAGGGACAGTGAGGGACAGGGAAAGTGAGGGGACAGGGACAGAGGAATGGGGACAAGAACAATGTGGGGACAAGAACACTGTGGGGACAGGGACAGGGAGGGGACAGAGACAGGGGAGAGGAATGGGGACAGGAATGCAGACAGGGAGGGGACAGGGACAGTGAGAGGACAGGGAGGGGACAGGGACAGGGGACATCAATGGGTCAGAGGACACCAAGAGGGGACAGGGTCAGGGGACACAGACCCAGGGTCAGGGGACAGCATGGACATGAGGTGGCACCAGAAGTGTCCCCTGTGGGTCATCTCTGTCCCCCCCTCACTGCTCGTGTGGCAGGGGACACCAGGGGGACGCTCGGGACATCGGGAGGACACAGAGCGAGCCTCAGGGATGTCGCCCTGATTTTTTAAATTTTCTAAGCCTTCTGATGTTTACATTTTGTAACTTTCTCACACACTTCATGTAAATAACTTATTGGTTTGCATTCTTTTATGGAGAAGGAGAAATCTGACGGACTGCTGGTTTGTCCAGTGTCCCTGGAGAGGTGGCACTGTCACCCTCCAACCCACCGCCACTTCTGGAAGTCTCTAAATGTTGGAGTCCGAAACACAAGTGCTGTTTTTTACCTCGGGACAGCTGCGTGTCCGTGGCGTGTTATTTCGTGTCCTACAGCGATATCTGGTGCTGCCGTGTTGGGACAGCCCTGGGTGAGGCCGTGTCCTTTATCCCCTCCCTGTTTTGGCACCATGATCGTGAGCAGCTTGGCATTTTGCCTGCAGCTCTCGTGGTAAAGGCAACCCCTGTGGGTTTCATGGAGGATTCTCTGGTTTTGGACCTCTGAAGGGTCTCCTGGAGCAGAAACGAGTTTTCTGTTTCCTGGAGCAATTTTGAAAGACTATTTCTGTGGGCTAGACAGAAAGGGCTTTTTTCAAACCCTGCGGAGGCGCTCTCCAGGGAGGTGTGGTCTCTCATGGAAGCTCTTTTTGATGACTGCACTGTAGACATGGGATCGTTGCTGGTGCAATGGAAGAAGCTTGATGTGATTTGGCGGGGATCTGGATTTTGTAGCTCTCAGAGTTCCCTGGGGGACCGTTCTGTCTCGGACGTGGACGAGGGGGAATTTGAATTTCTGCATGAAGCAGAACCCTGGGTGATGGTGAACTGGGAGGCAGCTCCATCTTGGATGGTGACGTTTGTTCCCTGGGGATGGTGAGCTGGGAGGCAGCTCCATCTTGGATGGTGACGTTTGTTCCCCAGGGAAGGTGAGCTGGGAGGCAGCTCCATCTTGGATGGTGACGTTTGTTCCCCAGGGACGCTGAGCTGGGAGGCAGCTCCATCTTGGATGGTGACGTTTGTTCCCCAGGGACGCTGAGCTGGGAGGCAGCTCCATCTTGGATGGTGATGTTTGTTCCCCCAGGAAGGTGAGCTGGGAGGCAGCTCCATCTTGGATGGTGACGTTTGTTCCCCAGGGACGCTGAGCTGGGAGGCAGCTCCATCTTGGATGGTGACGTTTGCTCCCCCAGGACAGTGAGCTGGGAGGCAGCTCCATCTTGGAAGGTGACGTTTGTTCCCCAGGACGGTGAGCTGGACGACAGCTCCATCTTGGAAGGTGACGTTTGTTCCCCGGGGTGGATCAGGCTCCCAGCCAGCAGGTTCTGAGCAGCCAGAGAATGGGCAGAGCCCCGCGGGCTGCTGGGGGCTTGCTGGAGTTGGCTCGGTCGGCTCGGCCATCCCCACCCCACGTTGTTATGAATAGAAAGCTGTCTATTTTTTTTGGTTGCAGAGTTAGAAAACAAGTCAGACCAGTTGTTGTAAGTTAGTTTCACTGCCAAAGAAAAGTTCTTCAATTACCTGTTAATGGCTGGTGATTAAGCATTGTCCCCCTGATGCTGGCCGCTTGCCAGGGAGGGACATGGGACAGACCCTCCAAGTACGAGGAAAATAGGAGCGACATCAGAGCCAGATGAGAAATGCATTGTGCCCCAAATTTTTACAGTTTTTACAGGAAAAACCCCTAAAATTACGAGCCACCAAGTGACCTAAGTGACGTCTAAGGATGGGAGCGTAGTCCTGTCCCTGCTTGGATCCTTTTTGCTTCTCACCCTAACCTGAAAAGATGTTGATTAGAGACGACCCGGGGTGTTGGACCAAAAAGCAGGAATCTGCTAATCTCTCATGAGGACGGAATCCCCAGCTCTGCCTGCAGACCAGCGGACAAAGCTGCATCACCCTCCTTCTCCGTGCCACACCTGGGAGCAGCAGCGGCGAGGGCGCGACCCATCGATTTCTCCCCACCTGAGCTGATTCTTCTCAATAAAGGCATTAAAAAGGACAAAGATCTCCTGCCCATTTATTTCACACACCATGGAGGCAGCGAGGCAAGGGGGAACCGCCTTCTCTTTGTGCCTTCCCAGCACTCAGGGATGACGGGGAGCCTCTGGATCAGCCTCAGCCTCTGTTTGAGTCTGATTCAGTGACAACGCTTCGTCCAAATTGTGGCATTTCCACGAAATATCCCCTGGGAGCGACGGGAGCGGGTTCGTCTGCTTCTGAGTTGGTCTGGTCTTCCAGCAGAGCTGCTTCCCCCAGTTTTGAGTCTACGCAGCCTGCCGGGCACGTGCAGGCGGCGCGAGCCACCAGAGGCAGGGCGTTGCTCGGTGCTCCGTCAGGCCCCGCCACGAGGTCGGGCTGCCCGCCCTGCCCCGCTCAGCCGGTGCCCGCTGTGGGGTCTCACATCACGGGCAGGACGCTCATAGGGGCTGTTGTAGCCACGATATTTTAGTGAGAAATCCTCTGCTGGGATTTTTTTTCCGTCCTGAGGAGCTGAGAGCCTCAGGAAAGAAATGTAAACAATAACAATAAAGAAATGTAAACAATAACAATAAAGAAATGTAAACAATAACTGTGTGCTGCTGTGGAACGCAACAGGGGCATCTTCCATTGGTCCATGTGGATTGTTTTCAATCAGTGACCAATCACAGCCACCTGTGCCAAGGCTGTGAGCAGTCACAGGATTTTTGTTATGCACTCTATTCTATTCTTGTTTTTGTAGCCTTCTGATCTTCTCTCTCTGTGCTCTTTTAGTATAGTTGTAATGTAGTATTTTAATATAATATATAACATAATAATTCAGTTTTCTGAGCAAAATGGAGTCGAGCCTCGTGTCCTCACACTTGGGGCATTCGCCGCAAGAGCGTCAGGTGCCGGAGGAGGCTCAGCAGGCTGTTTTGGCTTGCCAGGTTTATCGCACTGATCCCTCCGTCGATGTCACTGCGTTCATCACCGCTCCAGATTCGCATCCCACAGGCATCACTGGCCAACGGAGTGACGCACGGTCCGATTCCTTGCACATCTTGGAACGGGTTTTCCTGCCCCATCAGCCGCAGATGATGGCAACCGCAATGTTTGAGCTAATTGCTCGCTTGATAATCAAATGGCAGCAACGGTGTTTGCAACTGATGGGTGCAGATCCCACAAAGATCATACTGCCGTTACAGAGGGAGGACTTTGACTGGAGCTTTGCAAACAGTGTGCCCCTGCAGAGCGCTCTGGAAAACTTTTCAGGGCAGATCGCTTCTCATCTGCCCAGCCACGGGCTACTGCATATGCCAAAATCCACACAAATCTCTTTGCGGCCCAAAAATAGCCAGGAACCCGTGCAAGGACCCACCGTCTCCACTGATGGCTTGGGGAAAACAGAAAAGGCCATTGTCACCTGGAGGGACGGATCTGAGCGGCAGGTCCTGGAAGGTCATGAGGATGGGTCAGCCCAGCTGGGCTGCTGTCATGGCATTTGAGAAATTTTCCCAGGAACCTTTCAGTTTGGTCACGGATTCTGCCAATGTGGCCAACATCGCACAGCGGTTGGGTCCTGCAGTTTTGAAGGTCAGTAATCCTGCCTCGTTCCGTTTACTGAAGACCTTGTGGTGCACCATTCAGGCCCGGGTTCATCCTCTCTACGTTCTGCGTGTGTGGAGTCACACCAATTTGCCAGGGCTTGTGGTGGAAGGTAACACGAGGGCTGACAAGTTGGCTAACCCAGCGTGGGCAGCACCTCAGCCTGATACACTCGCGCAGGCCAAGGCATCACGTGGGTTTTTCCACCAGGACACACGTACTCAGCAGAAGCATTTTCAGCTGATGCCAACTGAGGCTCGTGACATTGTCGAGTTGTGTGAGAACTGCCTTTGCCAGCAGGGGTAAACCCCAGAGGTCTTCAGGGCCTGGGAGCTTTGGCAGACCGATGTCAGATTGCCAAGTTTGGCCGGCTCAAACATGTACGTGTCATGGTGGACACGCTCTCCTCTGCAATGTGGGCTTCTGCTCACACCAGAGAAAAGGCCCGTGATGTCCTTGCCCACTGGAGGCAGCCTTTGCTGTTCTGGGCACACTTTTCCTGCTGTGAAAACCGACACTGGTCCTGCTCACGCATCACGGAAGACGCGGCAGTTCCTGCAGCTGTGGGGTGTGTCACGCAAGTTTGGGATCCCTCCTTCTCCCACTGGTCAGGCTACTGCAGAACGCGCTCGTGGTGCTCTGAAGCGGGTTCTTCAAAAACAAAAACGGGCAATGCAGGGTGAAACCCCGCACAGTCGGTTGGCAAAAGCGTCGTGCACCATCAATCACCTCACGGTGTTGCAGAACTCAAATTAACCCTGTTGTTCTGAATCACCATCTCTCGTTGCAGGATGCAAACGAGGCGCATCAGCCTCGAGCCAAGGTTCGGGTGCAGAATTTGGTCACCAAAGCGTGGGAAGATCCCAATGACCTTATTGCTTTGGGGTGTGGGTATGGTATGTGTACCCACAGATGCTGGGGTACCTCCCAAGTGTGCTCACCCTGCCCCGTGACCACAGGCAGAATCCAAATGGAAATGTGACCGAGCTGAAAGGCATCAGGTGGGTGAATCACTGAGTGATGACTCGGATGCAGACGATGCCAGTGACCACTCTGATGTTTCCTCCGTGAACGGACACTGAACCTTGTTCGTTTTTCTTTTTTCACATTGTTAATTTTCTTCTTTTTCTTCTCTTTTTTTATTCAACGGGAAAAGATGAGACGCGGCCCTGACGTTTTAAATTTTCTAAGTTTTCTGAGATTTACGTTCTTGTAACGAACTTTCTCACACGCTTTGTGCAAATAACCTATTGTTCTGCATTTTTTGATGGGGAAGGAGAAATCTGATGGACTGTTGGTTTGTCCGGTGTCATTGGAGAGGTGGCACTGTCACCCTCCAACCCACTGTCACTTCTGGAGTTGTGACAGGAATTAAAAGTTTAATTTCTGGTTTTTCACCCCAGGACAGCTGCACGTCCGTGGCGTGTTATTTTGTGTTCTACAGCGACACGGGGACATTGTGGGGACACCAGGGGGACACTGGGGACACCAGGGGGACACTGGGGACACTGCCAGGGCAGGGCTGGACACGCTGGGGACACTGCAAAGAGACCTTGGGGACACACTGGGGACATTGATGGGGTGCTGGGGACACCTTGGGGACACCAGTGGTGGGGGGCTGGGGACACTGGGGGGTGGTGGAGCCACACGGGGGACACCTTGGGGACACCGTGGGGAGTGGGGACACCATGGGGACATTGACATGGGGACACTGGAGGTGGCATTGGAGACATTGGGGGCACCGAGAGGGACATTGGGGGACACTGAGAGGGTCGTTGGGGACACAGTGGGGACATAAGGGGCATCGGGGACAGCGGGGGACACTGAGAAGGACATTGGGGACAGCTGGGGACACTGAGAAGGACATTGGGGACAGCTGGGGACATTGGGGACAGTCGGGGTCTCACCCGTTCCGGGGTGTCCGGCGGGAAAATCTCCCTCTGCAAAGAGAGTGCGTCAGGGGAGGGGACAGCGGGGACATTGAGGTGTCCCCAGGTGTCCCCAGGGGTGTCCCCGGGTGTCCCTGCCCACCTTGCGGTCGATCACGTGACGCTGGAAGAGCTCGGCCTGGTTGGAGACCCAGAACACGGCCACGGGGAAGGACAGGTACAGGCACATCTGGGACAATGACACCTGTGTCACCTCCCCTGTGTCACACCTGTGTCACCTGTGCCACCCCCAGACCCAGAACACGGCCACGGGGAAGGACAGGTACAGGCACATCTGGGACAGGGACACCTGTGTCACCTGTGTGCCACCTCCCCTGTCCCCTGTGTGTCCCCGTTCCCCCATTCCCATTTCTTTGTTCCTGCTCCCGTTCCCGCCTCCCCTGCTCTGTTATCCCCCCGTTCCCACTATGCTATTCCTGTTCCCACTCCCGTTATCCCCTCCCCATTCCCGTTATCCCATTCCCGTTATCCCAATCCCGTTATCCCATTCCCGTTCCCCCCATTCCCATTCCCCCCTTCCTGTTCCCATTTCCGTTATCTCATTATCCCGTTATCCCATTCCCCTTCCCATTCCCATTATCCCATTCCCATTCCCATTCCCATTTCCCCCTTCCTATTCCCTTTTCCGTTATCTCATTATTCCGTTATCCCATTCCCATTATCCCATTCCCATTATCCCATTCCCATTCCCATTATCCCATTCCCATTCCCATTCCCATTCCCCCCATCCTATTCCCTTTTCCGTTATCTCATTATCCCATTATCCCATTCCCATTATCCTGTTCTCCCCCGACTCCCCTTCCCATTTCCACTACCCTGTTATCCCCCCATTCCCATTATCCCGTTCCCATTCCCATTATCCCATTCCGATCCCCATTGTCCTGTTCCCATTCCCATTATCCCCTTATCCCCCCATTCCCATTATCCCGTTCCCGTTCCTATCCCCATTATCCCGTTCCCATTCCCATTATCTGGTTCCCGTTCCCATTCCCATTATCCCATTCTGATCCCCATTATCCTGTTCCCATTCCCATTATCCCGTTCCCATTCCCATTATCTGGTTCCCGTTCCCATTCCCATTATCCCATTCTGATCCCCATTATACTGTTCCCATTCCCATTCCCATTCCCATTATCCCGTTATCCCCCCCCATTCCCATTCCTGATCCCAGTCCCATTATCCCGTTCCCATTATCCCATCCCCATCCCCATCCCCATTATCCCATTCTTATCCCCATTATCCCATTCCCATTATCCCGTTCCCATTCCCGTTATCCCGTTCTCCCCCCGTTCCCGTTCCCGCCCCTCGCACCCTCAGGATCTCCAGCTTCACCCCCATGGCTCCTCCAGGCCCCCCGCGCTTCCGGCTCCGCCTACCCCGCAACACCGCGTCCGCCCATTGGTCGCACCTCCAGCACCGCCGCACTCTATTGGCCGAGCGCAGAGGGGGCGGAGCGAATATCCCATCCCCATCCCCATCCCCATTATCCCATTCTTATCCCCATTATCCCATTCCCACTATCCCGTTCCCATTCCCATTATCCCGTTCTCTCCCGTTCCCGTTCCCGCCCCTCGCACCCTCAGGATCTCCAGCTTCACCCCCATGGCTCCTCCAGGCCCCCCGCGCTTCCGGCTCCGCCTACCCCGCAACACCGCGTCCGCCCATTGGTCGCACCTCCAGCACCGCCGCATTCTATTGGCCGAGCGCAGAGGGGGCGGAGCGAAGGAGCGAGTTGACCAATGAGAAGGGAGCGCGGGAAGGACGGAAGCGGAGGCGCCGGAAGTGCGGGCGGCGCGCCGGAAGTGCGGGAGCGCGCGGGGGAATGGCGGCGACCGAGGCGGAGATGGCGGCGCGGGAGGAGCCGCCGGGAGCGGCCCCGGGAGCGGCCCCGGGAGCGGGACCCGGCCCGGAGCAGCAGCCGGGAGCGGTGGCGGAGCCCGGAGCGGTGGAGGAACCCGGAGCGGTGGAGGAAACCGGAGCCGGGCCGGCGGGGGAAGCGGGGCCCGCAGCGGTGGCGGAGGCCGGAGCGGGGCCGGGCCCGGAGCGGCCGGAGCTGTGCTTCGTGAGTGCGGGCTGGCCCCTCCTGTCCCCTCTGTCACCTCCTGTCCCCTCTGTCCCCATCCCTGTCCTCTCCTCTCCCGTCCTGTCCCGCTCTGTCCATTCTTGTCCCCTCCTGGCGTCTCCTGTCACCCCCTGTCCCCTCCGGTCCCCATCCCTGTCCCTTCCTGTCACCTCGTGTCCCCTCTTGTCAGATCCTGTCACCTCCTGTCCCCATTGCTGTCCTTTCCTGTCTCTTCCTGTCCCTTCTGTCCCCATCCCTGTCCCCTCCAGTGTCCCTGTCCCCATCCCCTCCCCCAGCCACATTTCTGTGTCCCTGTCCCCTCTCGTGTCCCCGTGTCCCTGTCCCGTGTCCCTGTCCCCTCTCGTGTCCCCGTGTCCCTGTCCCCTCTCGTGTCCCCGTGTCCCTGTCCCCTCTCGTGTCCCCGTGTCCCTGTCCCCTCTCGTGTCCCCGTGTCCCTGTCCCCTCTCGTGTCCCTGTCCCTGTCCCCACTCCCTCTCCAGGCCCTTTGTCCCCAGCATTTCCCACGTTTGTGTCCCCATGTCCCTGTGCCACCCTGTCCCTGTCACCTGCTGCTGGCGCTCTGTGCTGTGCTCTGTGTCCCTGTCCCCTCTGTCCCTGTCCCCTCCCTGTCCCCTGTCTCTCTGTCCCTGTCACCGCTGCCTTCTGTCCCATCCCCTCCCTCCATCCTGGTCCCTTTGTCCCCCCCGGCTGTCCCCAGTGGGGCCCGGAGCGGCCGGAGCTGTGCTTCGTGAGTGCGGGCTGGCCCCTCCTGTCCCCTCTGTCACCTCCTGTCCCCTCTGTCCCCATCCCTGTCCTCTCCTCTCCCGTCCTGTCCCGCTCTGTCCATTCTTGTCCCCTCCTGGCGTCTCCTGTCACCCCCTGTCCCCTCCGGTCCCCATCCCTGTCCCTTCCTGTCACCTCGTGTCCCCTCTTGTCAGATCCTGTCACCTCCTGTCCCCATTGCTGTCCTTTCCTGTCTCTTCCTGTCCCTTCTGTCCCCATCCCTGTCCCCTCCAGTGTCCCTGTCCCCATCCCCTCCCCCAGCCACATTTCTGTGTCCCTGTCCCCTCTCGTGTCCCCGTGTCCCTGTCCCGTGTCCCTGTCCCCTCTCGTGTCCCCGTGTCCCTGTCCCCTCTCGTGTCCCTGTCCCTGTCCCCTCTCGTGTCCCCGTGTCCCTGTCCCCTCTCGTGTCCCTGTCCCTGTCCCCACTCCCTCTCCAGGCCCTTTGTCCCCAGCATTTCCCACGTTTGTGTCCCCATGTCCCTGTGCCACCCTGTCCCTGTCACCTGCTGCTGGCGCTCTGTGCTGTGCTCTGTGTCCCTGTCCCCTCTGTCCCTGTCCCCTCCCTGTCCCCTGTCTCTCTGTCCCTGTCACCGCTGCCTTCTGTCCCATCCCCTCCCTCCATCCTGGTCCCTGTGTCCCCCCTGGCTGTCCCCTGCTGTCCCCTGTGTCCCCTGTGTCCCCGGCTGTCCCCTGTGTCCCCTGTGTCCCCTGGCTGTCCCCTGTGTCCCCCTGCTGTCCCCTGTGTCCCCTGTGTTCCCCGTGTCCCCTGTGTTCCCCGTGTCCCCTGTGTTCCCCGTGTCCCCTGTGTTCCCCGTGTCCCCTGTGTTCCCCGTGTCCCCTGTGTCCCCTGCTGTCCCCTGTGTCCCCTGTGTCCCCTGGCTGTCCCCTGTGTCCCCTGTGTTCCCCGTGTCCCCTGGCTGTCCCCATCCCTGTCCCTGTGTCCCTCCAGGAGGATGAGGAGGAGCTGTCCCCTGTCCCCAGAGGTGTCCCCAGTGTCCCCTCACTGTCCCCAGTGTCCCCAATGTCCTGTCACTGTCCCCAATGTCCCCAATGTCCCCTCAGGAGGAGGAGGAGGTGCAGCACGAGGAGGAGCTGCTCTGTGTGTGTCCCCAATGTCCCCAATGTCCCCAATGTCCCCAATGTCCCCAGTGTCCCCAATGTCCCCAATGTCCCCAGTGTCCCCCTGCAGGAGGAGGAGGAGGTGCAGCACGAGGAGGAGCTGTGCCCGTGTGTGTGTGTCCCCAGTGTCCCCAATGTCCCCTCACTGTCCCCAATGTCCCCAATGTCCCCGTGTCCCCCTGCAGGAGGAGGAGGAGGTGCAGCACGAGGAGGAGCTGCTCCGGAACCCGTTCTCGGTGCGCGGCTGGCTGCGCTACGCCCAGGCCCGGCAGCGCGGGCCCCGGCCCCGCCTCAACCAGATCTACGAGAGAGCCCTCAGGGAGCTGCCCGGCAGGTACGGCACCGGGCACCTGGGGGGGCTGGGGGGGCTGGGGGCACCTGGGGGACACCTGGGATACACCTGGGGGCACCTGGGATATACCTGGGGGCAGCTGGGGGTACCTGGGATATACCTGAGGGCACCTGGGGATACACCTGGGCACACCCGGGCTACACCTGGGGTGCACCTGGGATACACCTGAGTGCACTGAAAATAGACTAGGGTTACCTGGGATACACCTGGGGGCACCTGGGATATACCTGGGGGCAGCTGGGGGTACCTGGGAATACCTGAGGGCACCTGGGATACACCTGGGCACACCTGGGAGTACCTAGAATGTACCTGAGGGCACCTGGGGGGACCTGAGCACACCTGGGGGGGGGCCTGGGGGCACCTGGGATATACCTGGGATACACCTGAGGGCAGCTGGGATACACCTGGGATACACCTGGGATACACCTGGGGGCACCTGGACACACCAGGGGGCACCTGGGGGGGCTGGGGGCACCTGGGATACACCTGGGAGTACCTGAGATACACCTGGGGGGGCTGGGGGCACCTGGGCAGCAGAGGTGCCCCCGGAAGGCACGGGGACCTTTGGGGGCACACCTGGGGGGCACAGGGAGCACCTGAGTGCCCTGGCAGGGGCAGGGGGGGCCCTGCTGTGGCCCCTCATGGGGGCAGGGACAGGGACAGCCGGGTCCTCGCAGGTGGCAGCAGGTGGCAGGGGCTGGCCCAGGGGAGGGGTGGCACCTGTGACTGGGCGTGGCTCGCGTGATCAGGTGGCACAGGTGACAGGAGTGACACAGGTGGCACAGGTGACAGGAGGGACACAGATGACAGGTGGCACAGGTGACAGGAGTGACACAGGTGGCACAGGTGACAGGAGTGACACAGGTGGCACAGGTGACAGGAGTGACACAGGTGGCACAGGTGACAGGAGGGACACAGATGACAGGTGGCACAGGTGACAGGAGTGACACAGGTGGCACAGGTGACAGGAGTGACACAGGTGGCACAGGTGACAGGAGTGACACAGGTGGCACAGGTGACAGGAGTGACACAGGTGGCACAGGTGGGCTCGCGTGATCAGGTGGCACAGGTGACCGGAGTGACACAGATGACAGGTAGCACAGGTGACAGGAGTGACACAGGTGTCACAGGTGACAGGAGTGACACCCGTGACAGGGTAGCACAGGTGACAGGGTAGGACAGGTGACACAGGTGACAGTCCTGGGTGGCCCAGGTGATGGGAGTGACACAGGTGACAGCAGTACCAGGTGGCACCCCAATGTCCCCGTCCAGGTGACAGGGGTGCCAGGTGCCCCAGGTGACAGGTGTGTCCCCTGTCCCCAGTTACAAGCTGTGGTACACAGGTGACAGGGTAGGACAGGTGACACAGGTGACAGTCCTGGGTGGCCCAGGTGATGGGAGTGACACAGGTGACAGCAGTACCAGGTGGCACAGGTGACAGTTGGCCCAGGTGACAGGGCTGTCAGGTGACCCAGGTGACACCCGTGTCCCCTGTTGAGGACAGCTGGGGACACGGGGACACCTGGGGATATGGGGGGACACTGGGGGACATGTGGGAATATGGGGACACCTGGGGATGTGGGCGGACATGGGGATGACACGGGGACACCTGGGGACATGGGGGGACAGCTGGGGACATAGGGGGACACCTGGGCACATGGGGGTACCTGGGACACCTGGGGACATGGAGGCTGGGCAGGGTTTGGGGACACGGCAGGACGGGGTTGGGGGTGTGGGGACATGGGGGACACTGGGGTGCAGGGAGGGACGTGGGGACACAGGTGGGACATGGGGGACACAGAGGGGACATGGGGACACAGAGGGGACATGGGGACACGGGTGGGACATGGGGGACACTGGGGTGCAGGGACAGACGTGGGGACACAGAGGGGACATGGGGACACAGGTGGGACATGGGGACACAGAGGGGACATGGGGACACAGGTGGGACATGGGGACATAGGTGGGACATGGGGACACAGAGGGGACATGGGGACATGAGTGGGGCATGGGGACACAGGTGGGACGTGGGGACACAGAGGGGACATGGGGGATATGGGGGTGCAGGGAGTGACGTGAGGACGTGGGATGGGGACATGGGGACATGAGGGAGACACGGGGACACGGGATGGGTGACGGGCACACAGTGGGGACATGGGACACAGGTGATGGGGACATGGGGGGGACATGGGGACACGAGTGGGACATGGAAGGGACAAGTGGAGGGGGGCACAGGGGATGTGAGGGGCAGGGGTGACACAGGCTCTGGGGACATGGGGCACAGGGGACACGGGCTTTGGGGACATGGCGAGGACACTGCCACCCTGGGGTGGCTCCTGGACACCGGATCACAGCTGAGCAGGGCGGGGTCACTGCGATCCTCTGTGTCCCCAAGTGTCCCCATTGTCCCCCAGTTATCTCCGATGTCCCATGTCCCCAGATGGCGTGGATCTGGCTGGATTACTGCCGGTCCCTGTCCCCAGTGTCCCCAGTGTCCCCTGGCTGTCCCCAATGTCCCCAGTGTCCCCTGTCCCCAGACGCCGTGGATCTGGCTGGATTACTGCCAGTCCCTGTCCCCAGTGTCCCCAATGTCCCCAATGTCCCCGTTAATGTCCCCTGTCCCCAGATGCTGCAGATCTGGCTGGATTACTGCCAGTTCCTGTCCCCATTGTCCCCTGGCTGTCCCCAGTGTCCCCAGTGTCCCCAATGTCCCCGTTAATGTCCCCTGTGTCCCCAGACGCCGCGGATCTGGCTGGATTACTGCCAGTCCCTGTCCCCAGTGTCCCCTGTGTCCCCTGGCTGTCCCCAGTGTCCCCAGTGTCCCCTGGCTGTCCCCAATGTCCCCAGTGTCCCCTGTCCCCAGACGCCGCGGATCTGGCTGGATTACTGCCAGTCCCTGTCCCCAGTGTCCCCTGTGTCCCCTGGCTGTCCCCAGTGTCCCCAGTGTCCCCTGGCTGTCCCCAATGTCCCCAGTGTCCCCTGTCCCCAGACGCCGCGGATCTGGCTGGATTACTGCCAGTCCCTGTCCCCAGTGTCCCCTGTGTCCCCTGGCTGTCCCCAGTGTCCCCAGTGTCCCCTGGCTGTCCCCAATGTCCCCAGTGTCCCCTGTCCCCAGACGCCGCGGATCTGGCTGGATTACTGCCAGTCCCTGTCCCCAGTGTCCCCTGTGTCCCCTGGCTGTCCCCAGTGTCCCCAATGCCCCCAATGTCCCTGTTAATGTCCCGTTGGTGTCCCCAGATGCCGCGGATCTGGCTGGATTACTGCCAGTCCCTGTCCCCAGTGTCCCCAGTGTCCCCAATGTCCCCAGTAATGTCCCCTGTCCCCAGATGCTGCAGATCTGGCTGGATTACTGCCAGTTCCTGTCCCCATTGTCCCCTGGCTGTCCCCAGTGTCCCCAGTGTCCCCAATGTCCCCGTTAATGTCCCCTGTGTCCCCGATGTCCCCAGTGTCCCCAGTGTCCCCAGTGTCCCCGCTGATGTCCCCTGTGTCCCCAGATGCCACGGATCTGGCTGGATTACTGCCAGTTCCTGTCCCCAGTATCCCCAATGTCCCCAGTGTCCCCAATGTCCCCGTGTCCCCATTGGTGTCCCCAGTGTCCTGTTAATGTCCTGTTGGTGTCCCCAGATGCCGCGGATCTGGCTGGATTACTGCCAGTCCCTGTCCCCAGTGTCCCCGTTAATGTCCCCGTGTCCCCGTGTCCCCTGTGTCCCCAGATGCCGCGGATCTGGCTGGATTACTGCCAGTTCCTGGCCAGTGTCCCCAATGTCCCCAGTGTCCCCAGTGTCCCCTGGCTGTCCCCAGTGTCCCCAATGTCCTGTTAATGTCCCCTGTGTCCCCAGATGCCGCGGATCTGGCTGGATTACTGCCAGTTCCTGGTGGAGCAGGGCCGCATCACGCGCACGCGCCGCACCTTCGACCGGGCGCTGCGGGCGCTGCCCATCACACAGCACCGGCGCCTCTGGCCGCCCTACCTGAGCTTCGTGCGCCGCCACCCGCTGCCCGAGACCGCCGTGCGTGTCTTCCGCCGCTTCCTCAAGGTATGCCACACCTGGGCACTCACCTGGGCACACCTGGGGGCACCTGGGCACTCACACACCCACACACACACACACACCCGCTGCCCGAGACCGCCGTGCGCGTCTTCCGCCGCTTCCTCAAGGTACCTGGGCACCTGGGGGCACCTGGGCACTCACCTGGGCACACCTGGGGGCATAGGGACACACCTGGGCACTCACCTGGGCACACCTGGGCACTCACTCACACACACACACCCGCTGCCCGAGACCGCCGTGCGCGTCTTCCACTGCTTCCTCAAGGTATGCCACACCTGGACACTCACCTGGGCACACCTGGGGGCATAGGGACACACCTGGGCACTCACCTGGGCACACCTGGGCACTCACTCACACACACACACCCGCTGCCCGAGACCGCCGTGCGCGTCTTCCACTGCTTCCTCAAGGTATGCCACACCTGGACACTCACCTGGGCACACCTGGGGGCATAGGGACACACCTGGGCACTCACACACACCCATACAGACACACACACACCCACCTGCTGCCCGAGACCGCCGTGCGCGTCTTCCGCCGCTTCCTCAAGGTATGCCACACCTGGGGGCACCTGGGCACTCACCCTGGCACACCTGGTGACATACCTGGCGTTCAGGTGACGCTCAGGTGACACAGAGTTGACAGGGGGGTGGCACTGCCCCAGCTGTGCCCCGAGGAGGCCGAGCAGTACGTGGGGGGGCTCAGGTGACACTGAGGTGACACAGGTGACATTCCTGTTCCCAGCTGTGCCCCGAGGAGGCCGAGCAGTACGTGGGGGGGCTCAGGTGACACTGAGGTGACACAGGTGACATTCCTGTTCCCAGCTGTGCCCCGAGGAGGCCGAGCAGTACGTGGGGGGGCTCAGGTGACACTGAGGTGACACAGGTGACATTCCTGTTCCCAGCTGTGCCCCGAGGAGGCCGAGCAGTACGTGGGGGTTCAGGCAGGGCTCAGGTGACACAGGTGACACTGAGGTGACACTGCTGTCCCCAGCTGTGCCCCGAGGAGGCCGAGCAGTACGTGGCCTACCTGCGCTCCGTGGGCCGCCTGGACGAGGCCGCGCAGGTGCTGGCCCGGCTGGTGAACGACGAGCGCTTCGTGTCCCGCCAGGGCAAGTCCAACTACCAGGTGGGCACCGGGGGCACCTGGGGGGGCACCTGGGGGCACCTGGGGGGGCACAGGGCACCTGGGGGCACCTGGGGGGTGCCTGAGGATACCTGGGGGGGCACAGGGCACCTGGGGGGGCACCTGGGGGCGCCTGAGGGGCACCTGGGGGCGCCTGAGGGTACCGGGGGGGGCACAGGGCACCTGGGGGCACCTGAAGGGTCCCTGGGGACACCTGGGGGGGCACAGGGCACCTGGGGGCACCTGGGGGGCACCTGAAAGGTACCTGAGGGTACCTGGGGGCACCTGAGGGGTACCTGGGGGTACCTGAGGGGCACCTGGGGGTACCTGGGGGGCACCTGTGGGGCACCTGAAGGGTACCTGGGGGGGCACAGGGCACCTGGGGGCACCTGGGGGGCACCTGAAAGGTACCTGAGGGTACCTGGGGGCACCTGAGGGGTACCTGGGGGGTACCTGAGGGCACCTGGGGGCACCTGAGGGGCACCTGGGGGTACCTGGGGGGCACCTGTGGGGCACCTGAAGGGTACCTGGGGGCACCTGGGAGGCACCTGAAGGGTACCTGGGGGGGCACAGGGCACCTGGGGGCACCTGGGCTCAGTGAGGCGTACCTGGGGGGCACCTGAAGGACCCCTGGGCACACCTGGTGGGGGGAATCTTGGGGTACCTGGGCACACCTGGGGGTACCTGGGCACACCTTGGGGGGGCACAGGGTACCTGGGGGCACCTGGGGGTACCTGGGCATACCTGGGGGGCACCTGAAGGGGCACCTGGGGGGCACAGGGCATCTCTGGGCACCTGGGGGTACTTGGGGGGCACCTAGGGTCTGTGAGGCATACCTGGGGGGCACCTGGGCACACCTGTGGGTGCACAGGGCACCTGGGGGCACCTGGGCTCAGTGAGGCGTACCTGGGGAGCACCTGAAGGGCACCTGGGGGTACCTGGGGGGGCACAGGGCACCTGGGGGCACCTGGGCTCAGTGAGGCGTACCTGGGGGGCACCTGAAGGGAACCTGGGGGTACCTGGGTGTGGGCACAGGGCACCTGGGGGCACCTGGGGTTAGTGAGGCATACCTGGGGGGCACCTGAAGGGCACCTGGGGGCACCTGGGGGGGCACAGGGCATCTGGGGGCACCTGGGAGCACCCGGGGGGCACCTGGGTTAGTGAGGCATACCTGAAGGGCACCTGTGGGTACCTGGGCACACCTGGTGGGGGGAATCTGGGGGTACCTGGGCACCCCTGGGGGTACCTGGGCACACCTTGGGGGGGCACAGGGCACCTGGGGGTTACATGGGAGCAGCAGGGAGGTATCTGGGGAGGGCAGAGGGCACCTGGGGACACCTGAGGGGCACCTGGGGGTACCTGGAGACAGATGGAGGGCACTTGGGAGGTGCCTGGGGACACCTGGGTGTGGGCACGGGGCACCTGGGGACACTTGGGGACAGCTGGGGGGCACCTGGGGACAGCTGGGGGAGTACCTAAGGACAGGTGGGGGCACCTGGGGAGTACCTGGGGGCACCTGGAGGGTACCTGGGGGTACATGGGCACACCTGGGGGTACATGGGAGACAGCTGGGGGCACATGGAGGGCACATGGGGATACTTGGGGGACACCTGGAGGGCACCTGGTGGCACGTGGGGGCACCTGGGGACAGCTGGAGATGCACCCCGGGGTGCATTTGGGGCAGTTTTAGGATGGATTTAGGGTAATTTTGGGATCCCTAACCCCATTCTCCCCAGCTGTGGCAGGAGCTGTGCGAGCTGCTCTCCCAGCACCCCGGGGTGCATTTGGGGCAGTTTTAGGGTGGATTTAGGGTGGATTTGGGATGGGTTCAGGGTAATTTTGGGATCTCTAACTCCTGTTTCTCAGCTGTGGCAGGAGCTGTGCGAGCTGCTCTCCCAGCACCCCGGGGTGCATTTGGGATGGATTTAGGGTGGATTTAGGATCTCTAACCCCATTTTCCCCAGCTGTGGCAGGAGCTGTGCGAGCTGCTCTCCCAGCACCCCGGGGTGCATTTGGGGCAGTTTTAGGGTGGATTTGGGATAGATTTAGGGTCTCTAACCCCCTGTTTCTCAGCTGTGGCAGGAGCTGTGCGAGCTGCTCTCCCAGCACCCCGGGGTGCATTTGGGATGGATTTAGGGTGGATTTAGGATCTCTAACCCCATTTTCCCCAGCTGTGGCAGGAGCTGTGCGAGCTGCTCTCCCAGCACCCCAGGGTGCATTTGGGGCAGTTTTAGGATGGATTTAGGATAATTTTGGGATTCCTAACCCCATTCTCCCCCAGCTGTGGCAGGAGCTGTGGGAGCTGCTCTCCCAGCACCCCAGGGTGCATTTGGGGCAGTTTTAGGGTAATTTTGGGATAGATTCAGGGTCTCTAACCCCCTGTTTCTCAGCTGTGGCAGGAGCTGTGCGAGCTGCTCTCCCAGCACCCCGGGGTGCATTTGGGGCAGTTTTAGGGTGGATTTGGGGTGGATTTGGGATGGGTTCAGGGTAATTTTGGGATCCCTAACCCCGTTTTCCCCAGCTGTGGCAGGAGCTGTGCGAGCTGCTCTCCCAGCACCCCGGGGTGGATTTGGGATGGATTTAGGGTGGATTTAGGATCCCTAACCCCATTCTCCCCCAGCTGTGGCAGGAGCTGTGCGAGCTGCTCTCCCAGCACCCCGGGGTGCATTTGGGATGGATTTAGGGTGGATTTAGGATCTCTAACCCCATTTTCCCCAGCTGTGGAAGGAGCTGTGCGAGCTGCTCTCCCAGCACCCCGACCGCGTGCGCTCTCTGGACGCCGGCGGCATCATCCGGGGCGGCCTGACGCGCTTCACCGACCAGCGGGGCCGGCTCTGGGGCGCCCTGGCCGACTGCTACGTGCGCTGCGGCCACCTGGAGAAGGTGACACCGCTGTCCCCGGGGGGGTGGGACACCTCGGGGGGCTGAGGGCGCCTGGGAGGGGTGGTACAGCTGGGACTGACTGACAGACATGGGATGGACTGACTGACACACCTGGGAGGGGTGGCACACCTGGGACTGACAGACGTGGGACGGACTGACAGACATGGGACCGACTGACACACCTGGGACTGACTGACACACCTGGGACAGGCTGACAGACATGGGATGGACTGACTGACACACCTGGGAGGGGTGGCACAGCTGGGACTGACTGACAGACATGGGACGGACTGACAGACATGGGACCGACTGACAGACATGGGACAGACTGACACAGCTGGGAGGGAGTGACACACCTGGGACAGGCAGCCAAGGGACAGACTGGCAGACATGGGACTGACTGACACAGCTGGGACAGACTGACACACCTGGGACAGACTGACACACCTGGGACAGACTGACACACCTGGGACTGACTGACAGACATGGGATGGACTGACACAGCTGGGAGGGAGTGATACACCTGGGACTGACAGCCATGGGACAGACTGACACACCTGGGACTGACTGACACACCTGGGACAGGCTGACAGACATGGGATGGACTGACTGACACACCTGGGAGGGGTGGCACACCTGGGACTGACTGACAGACATGGGACTGACTGACACGGGACGGACTGACAGACGTGGGACTGACTGACAAACATGGGACTGACTGACAGACATGGGACTGACTGACACGGGACGGACTGACAGACGTGGGACTGACTGACAAACATGGGACTGACTGACTTACACGGGACGGACTGACACATCTGGGATGGACTGACAGACATGGGACTGACAGACACACCTGGGAGGGGTGGCACACCTGAGACAGACTGACACAGCTGGGACTGACTGACAGATGTGGGATGGACTGACACACCTGGGAGGGGTGGCACACCTGGGACGGACTGACAGACATGGGACAGACTGACACACCTGGGAGGGGTGGCACACCTGGGACGGACTGACTGACATGGGACCGACTGACAGACATGGGACCGACTGACACAGCTGGGAGGGAGTGATACACCTGGGACAGGCAGCTAAGGGACAGACTGACAGCCATGGGACAGACTGACAGACATGGGACAGACTGGCACACCTGGGACAGACTGACAGACATGGGACGGACTGACAGCCATGGGACAGACTGACACACCTGGGACTGACTGACAGCCATGGGACAGACTGACACACCTGGGACTGACAGCCATGGGACAGACTGACACACCTGGGACTGACTGACAGACATGGGACGGACTGACAGCCATGGGACAGACTGACAGACATGGGACAGACTGGCACACCTGGGACAGACTGACAGACATGGGACGGACTGACAGCCATGGGACAGACTGACACACCTGGGACTGACTGACAGACATGGGACGGACTGACAGCCATGGGACAGATTGACAGCCATGGGACAGACTGACACACCTGGACAGACTGACACAGCTGGGACAGAGTGACACCCCTGTCCCCAGCTGCCCTCCCAGTCCCTGTCCCCACCCGGGGCCACCACAGCCCCGTCCCCTGTCCCCAGTCCCGTCTGTCCCGTTCCAGGCCCGGGATGTGTGCGAGGAGGCCGTGCACACGGTGATGACCCCATTAACCCCGTTAACCCCTTTAACCCCAGAATTTATCCCGTTCCAGGCCCGGGATGTGTACGAGGAGGCCGTGCACACAGTGATGACCCCATCCCAAAACAGGCAGGGGACCCCAAAACTGGATAACACCCCAAAAATGGGGGACACCCCAAAACAGGCAGGCACAGCTGGGCCACGGCCAGGACGGTGAGAGGGGGCACCCCAAAATTGGAGGGCACCCCAAAAATGGGCAGGGCACCCCAAAAACTGGCAGGGCACCCCAAAAACGGGCAGGGCACCCCAAAAATGGGGGAACCCCAAAAACGGGCAGGCACAGCTGGGCCACAGCCAGGACGGTGAGAGGGGGCACCCCAAAATTGGAGGGCACCCCAAAAATGGGCAGGGCACCCCAAAATAGGCAAGGCACCCCAAAAACGGGCAGGGCACCCCAAAACGGGCAGGCACAGCTGGGACACGGCCAGGACGGTGAGAGCAGGGACCCCAAAAACGAGGGGACCCCAAAAACGGGCAGGGCACCCCAAAACAGGCAGGGGACCCCAAAACTGGATAACACCCCAAAAATGGGGGACACCCCAAAACAGGCAGGCACAGCTGGGCCACGGCCAGGACGGTGAGAGGGGGCACCCCAAAATTGGAGGGCACCCCAAAAATGGGCAGGGCACCCCAAAAATGGGCAGGGCACCCCAAAACGGGCAGGGCACCCCAAAAACGGGCAGGGCACCCCAAAATGGGCAGGGCACCCCAAAACGGGCAGGGCACCCCAAAAACGGGCAGGGCACCCCAAAACGGGCAGGGCACCCCAAAAACGGGCAGGGCACCCCAAAACGGGCAGGGCACCCCAAAAATGGGCAGGGCACCCCAAAACGGGCATGGCACCCCAAAATAGGCAAGGCACCCCAAAAACGGGCAGGGCACCCCAAAACGGGCAGGGCACCCCAAAAACAGGGGGGACCCCAAAAATGGGCAGGGCACCCCAAAAATGGGCAGGGCACCCCAAAAACGGGCAGGGCACCCCAAAACGGGCAGGCACAGCTGGGACACGGCCAGGACGGTGAGAGCAGGGACCCCAAAAACGAGGGGACCCCAAAAACGGGCAGGGCACCCCAAAACAGGCAGGGGACCCCAAAACTGGATAACACCCCAAAAATGGGGGACACCCCAAAACAGGCAGGCACAGCTGGGCCACGGCCAGGACGGTGAGAGGGGGCACCCCAAAATTGGAGGGCACCCCAAAAATGGGCAGGGCACCCCAAAAACGGGCAGGGCCAGGACGGTGAGAGGGAACCCCAAAAACGGGCAGGCACAGCTGGGCCACGGCCAGGACGGTGAGAGGGGGCACCCCAAAATTGGAGGGCACCCCAAAAATGGGCAGGGCACCTCAAAAACTGGCAGGGCACCCCAAAAACGGGCAGGGCACCCCAAAAATGGGCAGGGCACCTCAAAGCTGGGGCAGGCACAGCTGGGACACAGCCAGGATGGTCTGAAGTGGGGAGCCCCAAAACAGGGGGGACCCCAAAATCAGGAGGTACCCCAAAAATGGGAGGGAACCCAAAAATGGGCAGGCACAGCACCCCAAAAATGGGCCGGGCACCCCATAAACAGGCTGGGCACCCCAAAACCAGGCAGGGGATTTCAGAAACAGGCAGGGCACCCCAAACTGCAGCCAGGATGGTGCGTCCAGGGAGCCCCAAAAACAGAGGGGACCCCAAATTCAGAGGGGCCCCCAAAACTGAAGGGGACCCCAAAAAGGGCAGGGGGACCCAAAACTGCAGGGGACACCCCAAAACTGGACAAGGTACCCCCAAACTGGGCAGGGCATCCCAAACCACGGCCAGGACGGTGTGTCCGGGGCACCCCAAAAACGGGGGGGACCCCAA